CATGAACCAAAGCTTTTTTCCTCTCCACTCCTAAACTCAGTTGTAGATTGCACACCATCAGGTCCTCCATTGCATTCCTCAATTTGGGTATTAAGTCTGCTGCATTTAGAGACTTCTTCCCATATACCCTGCAACACCTCTCCCCCCAAATCTCACTTACCAGCAAATTCCAAAGCAATCTACCTACACAACATCCATGCAAAGCTCCTACTGCTACCTGCAATCCATCATCCCATCCTGGTCGAGGATGATAACCCCAGTTCATTGGAAAGACTACACTAACCACCTCTTGTGCATATGGACACTCAAAATAGATTTGATCCCTGGACTCTTCATGCCCCAAACATAAATGACATTGGTTAACTACCTCTAGCTGCCATTTCGTTATTTTGTCAAAGGTAGAAATTCTATTAAGAGTGACAAGCCAGGTGATCATGGAATTCTTAGGGATTAGGATTGGCTTCCAAACCAGCTTAGACCATGCCTTTTCTTCTTGTTTAGGCATCAACCACTCCCATACGAGTTCAATACTGTACTTAACCATCAGTTTCCCTTTCTAGCACACCCCTGCTTTTGTTTTGACTAGGCTGCCCTGAACTTGACTCCTCAATTTCAGAATTTTGTTCCACAACCAGGCTCCTGGGGTACTTGATTCCCAGATACTAACATTTCTCAGCATGTATTCTTTAAGCCAGGATATCCACGTCGTTTCTTGATCAGATAGGACATTCCAGATATGCCTTACTAGACATGCTTTATTCCATCTGTGCAAATCCTTAAAACCAAGCCCCCCTCCCTCTTTGGCAAGGCCACTATCTTCCATGTGACTTTAGCATTCCTGTTTCTGAGCCCCATAGAAAAGCAGAACACTTCTTCTCTATTTCCCTGATCACTTTCTTGGGCAATTGGAAGACCATCTTCCAGAATTGGGCTATGCTAGCTAGAATTGAAGTCACTAACTGAAACTTCCCTGTATAGGAAAGGGTTAAAGCTTGCCATCCTGTGATTCTTTTTAGGATTATGTCCACTAGAGCTTTGCAGTTGCCAGCCTTCAACTTCCCTGCTATCAATGAAACTCCAAGATATCTGACAGGTAATCTGCCTTCCTGAAACCCTGAGTGACTGATGAGTTCTGCTTTCAACTCCTCCTCTACCCCAGCACAAAACAACTCACTTTTCTAAGGGTTGCATTTAAGACCCGAGATCCAGTAGAAATGCTTTGGAACTTCAGCTACTCCTTGCACCCCTTCCACTGATCCTTTTGTGAAGATCAGAAGATCATCTGCAAAGCACAGATGGGACAGCCCTATCATCTGGCATAAGGGATGCAAGGGAAGGACCTTCATTTCAGTTTCTCTTGTCAACATATAGCTTGGTTTGTCCATGGAGATTACAAACATATAAGGGGACAAGGGATCCCCTTGTCTTAACCCTTTCTGAGCTTGGAAATGACCTGTTAACCACCCATTGACACATATAGTGAATGTAGTTGATTCCAGACAAGTTTTAATCCATCTAATAAACTGTAAATGAAACCCCATAGCTTCTAACACAGTGAGCAAAAATTCCCAGTCAACATTGTCGAAGGCTTTCATTATATCCACCTTTATAGCACATCTAGGTGACATATTCTTCCTTCTATACCCTTTAACCAGTTCATGAGCTAAAATAATATTATCACTTATCATCCTTCCTTTGTTGAAAGTTGATTGGTTCTTGCTAATCACCAATTGTAACACTTCTCTAAGCCTATTGGCAATCACTTTTGACAGACATTTGTATAGAAAGTTGCAACAGGATATAGGTCTGTATTGTTTAAGAGAATTTGCATTAGGTAATTTAGGGATTAAGGTAAGGATCGTACCATTCACTTCTTTCAATAGTCAACCCGAAATGAAGAAGTCCTACACTACTTCTGTGACAAGCTCCAACTAGTGGCCAATTATGTTGGAAGAAATCTGTTGTAAACCCATCAGGTCCAGGGGCTTTATCCCTAGGCATACCAAAAACCACTGCCTTGACTTCTTCAGATGAAACCGGATCACAAAGACTTGTGACCTCAAAAGGAAGATGATGAATAAGCAGCTTCTTTATCATTCTGATACGGTATTTTCATACATCTGCATCATTTACTCCCAGCAGCTTCTTGTAAAACTTAATGGCTTCCTCCCCGATTTCCTCCACATTTGTAAGTGCCTGCCCTTCATCAATGACCAACTGCCTGATAGTGTTCCTGTTATTCCTTACCTTCACAGAATCATGAAAAAACCTTGAGTTCTTGTCCCCCTATGCTAACCAAGATTGCCTTGACTTTTTCCTAAGAAAACTTTCTTCATCCTTCCGCAGTTAAAGAAGCTGGACCTTACACTCCTGCTCTCCTGCAAAGGAGGCTAAAGTAGGACGCTCCAAGGCTTCAACTTGTGCTATAGCAGGAGATGCTTTGGCAATAAGCACTCTCTCATGTATGTCTGAGTAGTGGACCCTATTAAGCTTTTTCAGTCTATCTTTCACTTGCTTTAATTTTTGGTACAGTCTGAACATTGCACAACCCCTAGCTGGAACATCCCATCCTTCTTTTACCAACCTCATAATCCGGATGTTGCCTCCAGAAAATAAAGTATTTAAATGGTCTAGGGAGTGTTTTGGTCTATGTATCCGTATGAATGAGGACACCATAGTGATCAGAGAGCCCTGGTGGAAGGATTTTTACTGCTCTTCTGGGGAACTTGCTCAACCAATCGGTATTCATCATTGCCCTGTCCAACCTTTTTGCCAAAGGGTTTGCAGCCTGTTTATTAGATCAGGTGAACCAAGGTCCATCCATCCTGTGATCTTCCAACTGCATGTTTGTTATCCAGTTCCCAAAGTCTAAAGCACTCTCCCCTAGATCAACATCGCTTGAGGCTTCTTGACTACTAACTATAGCGTTAAAGTCACCCACTACCATTCATGGCTTATTCTTGTCAACCACTCTTCTCAACTTGTTGTACAAGTCTAATCTTTCATTTACTTCATTGGAGCTGTAAAGCAGAGTTACTTGCATCCCCTCTGCTCACTGTACCTCACCATGAACAAACTGATCCCCACTATCCAGAATGGAGAACCCTAATTCAGGTCGCCACAGAATCCACATTCTGCCTACTTGAGTTGCAGAGTAAATGTCTTCTATTTACCAGTCAGGAAACCACTTATTTTTTATATCTTGCATTTTCTCTCTTTTTACTCTTGTTTCTAGTATTGCCACTAAATCCACCTTATACTTTTTAACCATCACCATTATTTATGCCTGCTTATCAAGGCTATTGAAGCCCCCCATGTTTCAAGACAGGACTATCATTTACCATTCTTATTGTTTTTTGAAGGTCTCCCAACCTTCTTCTTACCACCCTTCTGTTGTGTCATACTTACTTGTAATTTAGGGAAATCCTTATTGTCCTTCAAGGGAGAGACAACTAGCGACCCTATCTCAAATTGATCCAGGGAGGATAGAGCCTGGAAGTCAGAGATGGAAGAATTACACTAGAAGATTGCCACTTCTCAGCCCCAGCATTTGTCAAACATGCGACAAGGTTATCTACTGCCAACTGAAGACCCATTCCTTCTTTTGTCACCTCAAGAACCTTAGCATTTCCTTGAAAACGAGTTGCTGTATTCACCAATGCCTCCTGACCACCATCAACCTCTGAATCACCCTCTGAAGCCACTTCCACAGTATTCCACACCCTCACCTCTTCCTCCTACCGAACAGGGCTCAAATCCTCCTGCTGGGAAGAATTCACCTCCACCTGTTCAGCAGTTATGCCCAAACTGATGACATTTCTTGCAGGCCACCGGCATGTTGCAATATTCCAATTGAACATATATGAAAAGCAGGCCTTCTATCTGGGAAAAGCTTCAATGACTCTGGGAACACAGTGTCCAAGCCAACACACACCTTAGGATATCCCAAACGTTGCCCAATTCGAGATGATTTATCAAACCTCAAGGGTCTACCAATCATACTAGCCAAACGAGTGAGGATCCTGCTAGTGACATTCTCCAGCGGTAAATCAATGAACTTAAACCACAATGGAATCATTGGTTTGGGACTCTCTGCTCTGATCCCTAGTTCCTATTTTCCCAGATAGCACATGTCATTGTGAAGGTGCCAAGGACCATTCGTGAATACCCAATGCGCTGCGTGATCTGTTGGAAACTAGAAAAGCAGCAGGCAGTGCCCTAGCCAACAAACCCTAATGATCCCTTCTTGCCCCACAACCTATTCTCCAGGATTAAGTCTGCTTGATATGCTGCGAGGATGAAAGGAACTGACCTACTAGACAAGGCTCCCAGCGAGCAATACCTTCTTCTTCAAGCTCTGCCAGGATGCGAAGCCCTCCATCCACGATTTCGGGCTCGATGTAAACCAACTGATTCTCCTCTGCGATTCCGAACAGATCTACCTAGGAGCGTTCCCACGCCATGAAGAATCAGTTAAAGCAGCTTCCCCTTCTCTCTTTTACTTTTCAATTTTCCATATTATCAATAAAATTTCTCTCTCTAAAGCTGTCATATAATTCTCACTTCATACGTTGTTGTCATTAAATAAAACAACCTCCCTTCATAATATATATTTTTATTTTTATTTTGGTGGTTTCTTTAAAGAGATGAGAGAAATTGTGGTTAAGCTATTATTTTTGTGGTAATTATATCACTATTTTTATTTTTGTTTTGACCAGTAAATAATAATTTTTATCTCATTCAAAACAAACAATAGTGCTTTCTTACCTATTTAACGAATATGAATACATGTATTATAACCAAGGTTCAAAAAGGCGTTAGGCGTAAGGCGAACGCTCGGTTCCTGGCTTGTGCCTAGCCTGATTAAGTGTAGCCTAGGCTAGCCTAGGCGTTTAGAGCAGAATTAGGAAAAAGTCTCATTTATTTAATGTTTTCTAGAATACTTCATATGATCACAAGTTCATATAAAATTAGAAACACCTAGTTCTCAACAGTTAACTCTAAACATAACAAATAACAAGCAAGTAGTGTCCATTTCCTAGGATCACAAGTTCATAAAATGTCGAAATACTAAACAATAGTCAATAAACACATAACAAAAAAGTTAATTATTCATCATCCATGTAGGTCCTTCAAGTCATGACTTCATCTCATCATCCTCAAAAGTTATCTCCTCTCCGTCATCCTCTTCATACTCGAATTCTTCATTATGGAGCTCTTCCACAAAATTTACACCGTACTCTCTCCTTGATTTGGGACCCATCAATCTTCCATATTCCAATCCTATATCACCAGACTTCCTCTTCAAAATGTTGGCATTCTCTTCATTTGTTTATAATTGACAAATGTATCATAATTCATAATTCATAAACAATTAACAAAGGCCTACTCAAAGAAAAGGACAAGCAAGAGCTTAACACGTATCATAATTTATTACAATTAACAATAGCCTACTCAAAGAAAAGGATAAGCAATAGTCATAATTTATTAATTCATAAACAATTAAACATGATTGATTGGTGGTGGAGTTATACCGATCAGTAATGCCAACCACAACAACCAGCATTTTCCAGAAGTTAGGACATCTATGTGGGAGAAAGGAAGAAGCAGCAAGGTCTCTGTTTAATTTATTACTCAAAGCCGAAAGTCCTAAACAAAACAAAACATCTCTGGATGCCTCCGACTGGATGCCTCCGACTCCTATATAAGGAGGCCAGACCCTCCAAGCAAAAGGACTTCTCTCCCTTCCCTCACTTTACAACTTATGGTTCTCTCTCTAAACCCTATCTCTTTCTACATTCTCTACACTCTATCATATATCCTATTCTAACTTGACCATCAAAGTGTAGATCACGGGGGCCGCCCCCGACTCTCCACATGATTCTTCCACTCCCGAGGAGATCAGACGAGGGAGTCCAAATCAAGGTTCCACACTAATCTCCCGGCACTAATCCGGATCAAACATTTTGGGCCATGATTTCGGTATTCTTTCTGAAAGTGGGGAAAATCAGTTCTTCCTTTGCTAGTCGCCACCACTTCAAGGAAGAAGAGCTATAGGAAGAAAAGCTGTATTCGTCTCCGCCAGCGCAGCTCTAGTCTTCACCGGTCGCCTCCCAACCACTCACCTCCGTTGGAAAAACTCGCCACGGGAGGTCACGGAACAAACAAAAACCAGCGGTCTCCTCCACCTCGAAACCTTCAAAGTCAGATCTGCATCTCTCCAAGTCATTAGCCACCTAAGAACAAAAATAGAAATTTCCAAATTCCGGCCACCGGAGTTGCTAGCCTCGTCGGAGCTCCGGCGGGGAAAAGGAAAAGTACTATCGCTGCTGTCAACATCATTTTTGTCTCTCCCAAACGTCCCTGTCCCTCTGGAAAAGCAGCTCTGCTACAGTAGCAGGATCTGCAAAAACAAACAAAAGCATGTTGTGTCAGCCACTCTTTCTCTTTTCCCAAGGAAAGCCAACCTGGTTTCTCTACCACGTCACTCCGACACTCCCTCCAATCACGTGGAATGCTTCTCCCATCAGCCTACAACAGCCAGCCCGCTCAGCAAGCCTGGCGCGGCCCATTAGTCGCGCCCCACATCCACATTTCGCCTCCAAGCCCGGTCAAGTCTCGGCCCATCTCCATTTTGAGCTCAATTCGGCCAGCTCCACCTCCTTTCAGCAACACAAAGGAAGCAAAAACAATCCTGGCAAGATTCGAACCAGGATCAGGAAGCAGCAGCACGCTGCATCCACCAACAGACTATAAGGGGTTTTATGTTAAGGTGACCATCCGCCATTTATTTATTAAATTAACCGCTTCAACCGGTGGGTCATTCTTCACCACCCACCGTAAGCGAGCCCGCCTCCAAGTTTCTCAACACTCGCTCGTCTCCAAACATGACCTGATGGAGCCCGCTTTGTATCAAATAACAAATACAAGACCGCCTTTCATCCAGCCCGCCTTCCGAAAGGCGCCCCAACCCGCGCCGCTTGGGCACTTCCATCGAATTCGGCCCGCTTCGCATTTTGAGCCTGTCAATATCGATCCGCCTCCGACGGCCCAACAAAATTCAACCGGCCTCAGCGCAACGAAGATCCGCGCCTTTCGCATCCGAAGCCCGCCTCCGACTTTAAACCAGGCCCTGTGCAGCGACCCATCTCTGATGCACAACTCACCTTCAACGCGGACCGCCTTGACGGACTGAAGCCCACTTCTCCAGCTTTCATGGCACAAGCGTCAGAGGCCCACACCTCCAATTCTCACAACATCCAGCTGGCCCGCTTTGCACTTTGAGCCCATCAATGGGGCTGCGGTCTTCCATCATCGACTGAGGAACACCTAAATTAAGCCCGCCTTCCGTCTAATGAGCCCGCATCCGGCCCATTTCGCAGTTAACACCAATGCCAGAACCAATTGCACTTTGAGCCCATCAATGGGGCGTCCGCGTTCGAAGATCGCAACCCAGCATCGGCTGAGGAACGCCTCAATTAAGCCCGCCTTCCGTCTAATGAGCCCGCATCCAGCCCATTTCGCAGTTAACACCAATGCCAGAACCAATTACGCGCGGGTCCACCTCCAAACCGTCTAGCAAAGCCCAACTTCATCAGATGGCCCAACTAGAGGAAATTCTGCCTCAACCATGAATGCATCCAATGGGATTCGAACCGCGACCCATCCTCAGCAAGTCAAAGCGCACACCACTGCACTACAAGACTTCTATGTAGAGGTGGCAATTAGGATCCAAATCCATGAATCCAATCCAATCCATCCACCAAATTATCCACCTAATCCAATCCATTTGATCCAAATCCAATTGGATTGGTGGATTCATGGATCAATCCATGGATCCAAATGGCAAATTACGATTTGGTAGCTATATTTTTTATATTTTACATTTTGGTACCTAAAATTTATATTTTTATACGAAAATTACATTGGAAAATTACATTTCGCTAACTAAAATTTTACATTATGACATTTTAGTACCAAAACTTTTCAAATTTTACATTTTGGTCCAAGCCTTGGATGTCATTTGGATTCATGGATCAATCCACCAATCCATTTGATCCAATCCATGAATCCACCAATCCATTTGATCCATGGATCCACCAATCCAATCCACGAATCCGATCCCATTGCCACCTCTACTTCTATGTGAATCAGAGTGCGACTCCTATTAATTAGACCGCTTCCCATCTGTCTTCTACAACTTATTCCCAAGCTAAGTACTTCCTTGTAAGATATATTCAAATAATATGCCATGAAGACCGCCACTAATATCATACTATGATATTTCTCGCTACTTCCTATGCTCATATTTAAACTCTAAGTATATTGGTAACTAGTCACTCGCATCTTTTGCAGATATAAAACCGCATCCCGCTTCCTGAGTGATGTTTCCACTCGAGGTAGAAGGCCGAATCCGCTTCCCAGTAGGCGCGACATCAGTATAGCTAACACGATCCCGCCTCACAGCAGGTGTTGCATCTTCAAATCACAAACGTCGCCTTGAGTTAAAACACTCAAGTCGTGGGGGCCGCCCTCCCTAGCACATAGCTAACGCCTAATATTCAGCCAACAACTCACACTTAACATGCACACAAGCTCATGCCCATCTCGCGGTCCAACAACTTAACTCATACAGCTCATAGTTACAGCCTACATATTAGCACGCTCGGCAATGGGCTAGTGGGGAAATCTTAAATGACTTAAGAGCTCTAACTCAAGACATCGAATGCTAAACAAAGAAGCAAAGACGATGACCGCACAAGTGGCAAACCACATCGTGCGAACTCGCAAGCGTCCAATCAACTCGGGGGTGTCCATCACCGGGAGGCATCCTGTAACCCGGAGGCGTCCATCACTGAGAGGCGTCTCGTCCATCGGGAGGCGTCCATCACCAGGGGCATCCATCACCAAGCAATGGTCACACAAGGGGCAAAACTGCATCGTGCAGACTCGCAAGTAGGGCAAGTTAATACACCTTAACGCATTATTTTACTACTTCCATTCTTATAGAATACAAGAAGCAAAGGGGCAAATGTTGGGTCTAGTTTTAACCCGCCTAATACGGGCCCAAGCCCACCACAAAGCGTCTCACCTTGGGCCCAAGCCCATTATAGGGTCCAGTACACCGGGAGGCATCTAGTCCACCCGGGGGCGTCCTTTACCCGAAGGCGTCCATCACCGGGAGGCGTCCAGTCTACCGGGGGTGTCCATTACAACAGGAGGCGCCCACCACCGGGAGGCGTCCACTGGATGCCTCCGACTCCTATATAAGGAGGCCAGACCCTCCAAGCAAAAGGACTTCTCTCCCTTCCCTCACTTTACAACTTATGGTTCTCTCTCTAAACCCTATCTCTCTCTACATTCTCTACACTCTATCATATATCCTATTCTAACTTGACTGTCAGAGTGTAGATCACGGGGGCCGCCCCCGACTCTCCACAGGATTCTACCACTCCCGAGGAGATCAGACGAGGGAGTCCGAATCAAGGTTCCACACTAATCTCTCGTCACTAAACCGGGTCAAACAATTCCCTTATAACTCACGGTAGCAAGAAGGATACAATAGAGAAAGGAAGAAGCAGCAAGCAAGAAGGAAGATGCCTAGAAGGCAGATATGTACAGTCCCAAATGCAGAGCATCGAGATTCATAAAGGGCTTTTAGTATTCGAGCGGCAAGGGATGCTCCCTCAGCGGAGGCCGAACGAGCTAAAAGCTCTTCCCAACACACAACAGACACGACCTATCGTTTTGGGTGAGTATCGGCCTAAAGCTCATGAGGAAGAAGACGGATGCAGGGTTTTGATTTGTATGAGATTCGAGTAGCATTTTCTAATTTTGTGGAAGGAGAATTATTGAATCAATTTCTACAAAGAGAGACAGAAATGAAGTCGTCCAGGCCTAACTTTGTACCCAAAAAAATAAAGAAACAAAATGCCTAGCTCCAATATTGCGGTCTTTGGCGGCCGCTTAATAGCTTTCTCCACCACTTAGGTGGTATCTATGAGGTGTTCCACGCTATTGCCATAAGCGAGACACTCTCTCAACGCTTTGCGCTTTATTAAGCCTAGGCGCTCCACCGCTTAGGCGGTATCTATTAGGTGTTAAGCGCGCCTAGCGCTTTATTCCACGCTATTGCCATAAGCGAGACGCTCTCTCAATCCTTTGCGCTTTATTAAGCTTAGGCGAGCGCCTAGGCGCGCTTTCTTGAACCATGATTATAACAAGTATTTGTAAAATCGTACTATTGAGGCGGTCCGATCAAAAATCTCGTACCATAAGTTAAATTAGGGAACGGTTTTAACGATATGAAATAGTTAAATCAAGTTTTCAGCATGAAATATTCTATTGTTGACTTTTATGGTACAATGTCCATTACGATTTTACAATTTTGATTATACCCATATTAAAATGTTATAGAATATATTAAGTAGTTTCTCAAAAAACATCTAGTGTATGTTAGCCAATCAACACCCATCGATGTTTCTTCCCATGTTTGTTTTTATTTTGTTCGCTTATTAATTTTTTGACAACTAATTTATAAAGTAAAAACTTTATCACTCAGTTGCCTTAGATACACTTTTTCCCCCGGTAATTAGCGTTGTTTCTATTAAGCACCCTTTTACGCTGAAAAAGCAGCAGTAGAGTCAAAAAATACAATGGGAGACTGCCTACAAATCCTTATACAAATGATTTGTAAAGCATAACAAAAAACAAAACACTAGACAAGATGCAGAGCTGCAAATTCTGAAGCTCTAAACTCAGGATTCCCACATCCATACAACCTGATCTCTTCTTTTAGTTGAGATACTAATTGGTCAACTGCATTTAACCTTTCCCCAAATCATCTCTGACACCATTCCCTCCAAATGAAAGTGATCGCTAGCACCATGACGTCAATTCCACCAGGCAAGCTTTTGAGGTTGAATGACACATAACTTCCATCATATGTTCCCATGAGGGTGGAAGCAGACTAGTCCTCTGCAACAGTAGTGATATAAAAACCAGAGTATACATGCAGGCACAAAATAACTGGTTTCTAGTTTCTGTTTCCTTGTTACAAAGCACACAAGTATCTTCCCTTATCACTCCCCAGCTATGTAACTTATCCTTGGTAGCAATTCGATCAAGAATCACTAACCAAGTGATGACTCGTTTTTTAGGTAGAACAAACTTATTCCATAGTATCTTCCACCACACCACAACTGGCTTTCTGCTCCTAATCGCCTGCCAAACTGTTGAGATAGAATATCTAATCATCTTATTGCCTTGCCATGTTACTATCCCATCATTGTCAACATCCATTATGTATCGAATCCAAGGTCTGATCTTTAACAATTGCTTCCAAATTCAGGACCCTGTGGATGACATTCTAACCTGCCAGGTTGTTTCCCCTCGCAACCTATATTTCCTTATCCAGACAACCCAAAAACTCCCACCTTGTAGAAGAAGTAACCAGATGAGCTGAGCAATACATGCTACATTCCAGGAAATCAAGTCTTTCATCCCTAGGCCACCTTCTTGCTTATGAATAGCAAGAGTTTCCTAGGCAACTTTGGCTTTACCAGACCCCTCTCCACGCCATAGAAAATCAGAGCATATTTTCTGAATGGCTTTAATCATCTTCTTGGTAAAGACAAAAATAGCCATCCAGTAATTCACAATAGAGTAGAGGACAGATTCTATAAGTTGCAGTTTTCCAGTATATGACATTTTATTGGCCCTCCAGCTTCTAATCCTGTTTGTAAGTTTGTCCACTAGAACTGAACATTCCCTGCTTGACAGCTTTCCAAAAATCAAGGGTAAGTCAAAATATCTCACAGGGAGGTGTCCCTCTTTGAAACCAGAAACATGAATAGCAATGTGCTTAAATTGCTAAGCTTGTCCATCAAAGAAAAATTCACACTTATCTGGATTACATTGTAGACCAGATAGCGTGTAGAAGTCATCTAGAATACTTCTGATTCTACTTAAAGCTCTGCCATGTCCCTCAGAAAAGATGAGCAAATCATCAGCAAACACAAGTGATTTAAGCCTATTTCTCTACATTGGGGATGAAAAGGCAAGATCTTATCCCCTGCAGCCTTATCTAACATGACCTTAAGAGGCTCCATTGCTATGGTGAAGAGGTAAGGGGAGATGGGTGTTAGAAACACATTAATTGCAGTTTTGGGTATTTCGTATTATTCGTCGATTTTTTATAATTGGGGGATTATTTGGGGAATTCGGGAAATAAACAGGGAGTCGATTGTTATGTTTTATTAGTTGGGTAGGAGATAGAAATTATGCAGACTATATAATCTGTAATTAGTGAGATTATTTTCATTAAGCAATTACAGAACAATTTTCTTTAAACCCTAATCCTCTTCCCCTCTCCTTCTCCCACGTCTCTCTCAACTCCTCTTCCTTCCCTAGCTGCCGCGGCAGCCTCTCCTTCCCAACCCTCTCGATCACTCAACTCCTTCCCTTCATACAAACTCTAGCTAGGTAATTTGCTCATTGACCTGGTTATTTCTCCCATCTCATTGACCGTTAGAAACCTTGTAACTAACATCTAGTATCAGAGCACGGTTCGAGATTGAGTTTCATGTAACTCTTGAACCAGGACAGGCGTAAGAAGACAATGGTGCTGACTAAGTCTCAAACCGCAGCAGAGAAGGCGACTCAGGCGGCCAAGAAAGCCACCAAGGCTGGCGACAGAGGACTCGATGGTGTGGTGGGGGACGAGACGGAGCTCGAGGCGGTGAAGGTGGTGGTGCGTGAGCACTCAGGAGCGTTGGCTCGGCTCGAGGAAAGCTTATCGAGAGTGCAGGCTGACATGAAGGCAGATGCTGAGGAACTTCGCCAGAGGCTGGAGGACCTGATTAGAGCAGTTGCCTCGCTGCAGGCAAAAGAGGCAGGAGCTGAGGTCGTGCCGAACCCGACTGGGTTGGCGGCCGACAGTGGCGGAGCGTCAGGCGCGGCTGGCGGGGGATCGACCGCAGGAAGACCATCTCCGACCAAGGTCGAGACGACGATCGTGGTTGGCGGGGCGACAGGCGGCGGCGGCGGAGACCAAGGGGGAAAGACGGCAGACGGGAAACTCCCCAACGCGGACCACGCGGCCCTCGGAGCGCGTGGTCGCGATCGGGGGTCAGGCCTGCTACCGACACCGTCGGCCCAAGAGGTCGCGGCAGTGAGGGGGAAGGCAAAGATGCCAGGGTATGATGATGTTGGGCCTCAGTTGAGCTTCGGGCCGCACGAGCGGATGGGCACAGACGAGGAGGTCGAGCTGATCTTGAACGGGCAGGTAGGGAGCTGTGCCGAGCCCGGGAGGAGCGCGATCGGGCAGGGTGCATCGAGGGAAGCGGGCCGAAACCCTGGGTGGGCCCAGAACAGGAGCGGGTCGAGCCGATCTGGGTCGGTCAGGATGGGCCGGCTCGGGTGGGGTCGAACTGGGGCGAATTAGCGGGGCAAACCGGTCGGACCAGGTTCTAGGTGGACTGGGAGGCAGGGAAGCTGGAGCTAAATGGGAGATCGGCCGGGACTCGGGACCCTATTACCCACCGTATCATGGCTCCCGCTCGCCGACGGAGGAGTGGGATGGAAGTCTGGCACGGAAGGATGGACCGGACGAGTATGCAGAGTACCCGTTCAAGGAAGAAGAGGAGTGGGGCCGAAGCAGAGGGCTGCAGGTTCCGCGGGGCTATCATGACTGAGTTCTGGGGTACGACAGGTATGACAGCTACCCTCACGGCTTTGATGGTGATCTGGTGTTTAGGGCCAAACCCCCTACCATTGAGTTCCAAAAATTCAATGGTCAGGAGGATGCAGGTCTATGGTTGTATGTAGCTGACAGGTGGTTCCAGAATCACCCCAACAAGGAAGAGAGGAAGGCGCATCTGGCGCCCTTCTAATTAGAAGGAGACGCGCTGCAGTGGTGGGAATGGCTAGAGCGATCATATACAGCTGCGCAGACCTTGATCACCTGGCCCTTGTTTAAGGAAGAGCTACGGTACCAGTTTGGTAAATCGGAAGGGTGGGCACCGGAGCAACTGGCTAAACTGCGCCGGACCGGGACAGTGGCGTAGTACAAGGCGGAGTTTTTCAAGCTGGGCAATCAATGCAAGGGAGTACCAGAGGAGACCCTGGTTGGGTTGTGCATGGCTAGCCTAAAGCCAGAGATAGCCGCGGCGGTTAAGGTTTTCGAACCAAACTCGTTGCGGCCTGCTTTTCTTCCTGCACGTTATAAAGAAGAGGAGCTGGCCAGCTGGAGGAGTACAATTGGGCGATTCCCGAGAGCAGGCGGAATTGGAGGAGGTGGCATCAGGTCGGGCGGCAGAGGGGCGAATGCGCCCATCGGCACAGGGCCGTCGACAGGTGGTGCCGTCACCTCAACTCGGCAAGCTCCTAGGCCGCTACCGAAGGGATTCGTGAGACTATCACCACAGGAGATTGAGCAGAAGAGGAGAGAGGGAAAGTGTTTTAACTATGACAAGAGGTTCACCGTGGGGCACAAGTGCGCCAAACCCGATTTGATGATGCTGGTGGGTCGCTGGGAAGATGAGGCAGAGGAGGAAGCAGCTGAAGAAGGACCGCCGAAATTGGAGTAGGACCCACAACCTTGAGGACAAGGTTGCTTTCCAAGAAGGGGGGGATGTTAGAAACACATTAATTGCAGTTTTGGGTATTTCGTATTATTCGTCGGTTTTTTATAATTGGGGGATTATTAGGGGAATTCAGGAAATAAAAAGGGAGTCGATTGTTATGTTTTATTAGTTGGGTAGGAGATAAAAATTATGCAGACTTGTGCTCTAGTTTCAAGAAGAGCAAAAAGTGAAACCTTATGAACACGTAAGTAATCAAGCATAGAATTGTGCTTCAAGGGGCAATTGAATCCCCTTGTATTCCATATTAGGGATGTCATTTACGTAAAATAGTCACCTTAGTGACTCCCTTACTACGTAGGCCCTCTCTCCCTGGCTTTTTCAGAGGAGCCTGTAACTTTATATCTCTCCCACAGAGCAGATCAAACGCATTAGAATGTAGAATTGGTGTAGGCTGTTTAATTCCAGATTTATGTTTTGCCCCATTTATTACCTTATTGAACTCTTCATGAGATGGAAGTGCACTGGAAGTAACTAGTGGAGTATCGTCAATGACAACTTCTTTTCCTTTCACAGCTTTAATACTCTCTTCCATTACTGCTTGTTCCCCTTCCTTCTCCAGATCAGATAAAACAGCAACCTCCTCCGGGATAGTTGCTGTTTGATGTTGCTTTGGATGCCAAACTCTCTTGGTTGGAACTCTTGGGGGAGGCAATGAACAATCGTGGCCAAAAACCCCACAAGCGGCACAAACAGCTCGGCAAACCACAATACTCAATCCCAATAAACCTTTCATCCATGCCATCAGGGGTGATACTGATTCTGTTGACCAACGACTTCTTTGCACTGACTTCAACACAGACCTTAAAAGCACCCAACTTCTCCCTCTGAGTAGTGGAGTGATCCATACACATCAGTTTCCCAATTGCACTAGCGATCCTACCCAACCCTCTCGCAAAGCTAATTCAGCAGGAAGACCTCACAATTTGACCCATACCGAAATGGCTGAATTATTGATATCTATAGCCGTGATACCAGGAACTCATTGACGTAAACAGATGATCTTCGCCTTAAAAAGCTATGGACCACCCTCGAAAACCCATCGGCAAGTCAATTCACATGGAAATTGAAATAAAACCATCTGGTCTTCCAGCATAGACACCTTCACCTCCCCCTGTTTACCCCAGATCCAGTTAGCCCAGAAGCGGAGAGAAGCAAGTGAAGGCGGAGCAACCAGAAATTCTCCGACCAGGCTGTGTTCCCATTTTTTCGCACCTTCCTCGATTACCAATTTAGGTATACAAAGTGAGTCATTGATAATCTCTGGTTTGTAGTAACCCAGGCGATTCTCTTCAGAGACCTGAAACAGCAAAGCCCAGGACCGTCCGTAACCAACAGCGCCCGTCGAGGCGCCATCAGTGACGCCGGCCATCGATTCCAAATCTCCCAGAGAGTTCAGAGAAGAAAGATGAGAGAGAGAGAAAGAAGAGAGAGCAGGTTTTTTGAGGATATATATTATTTTTTTCATATCACGTACAAATACACGTTTTTCACTTTAACCTCAAACTTGAAAAAACCATGCGCAATGCTGCTGATGATGGCATACTTGCATTAACATTAGTTGTTCCATTTTGAATTTACATCACCTATATTAAAATTTTCCTTCAGTATGTTTTCAGATGATGTACTCGCCTCTAAACAAAATAATGTCATTTTAGTAAATTTAATTAGCAAAAAAATAATTTAGTATTTATTTCATGAATTTGAAAATTAAATGTTGATGTTATTTGTTGGGTTCAAGTATAAACATTCGGGTGTTAATGTTAAATATTGTATTTAAATATGAGTATTTTTTATTTTATTTGGAATTTTGTATTTTATTTATATATGAATGTTAGATTGTATTCACATATGTTTTTATATATGATTATAAAATTTAGTTACAGTTATTGATTTGTCATATTTCTATATAATTTATTAAACCAATATAAATCAGTTGTATTTCAGTCGAACCATACCAATTGCTAATTTATTTTCATTTATATATGAATGTAGATTATATTCACATATGTTTTATATATAATTATTAAATTTATTTAATGTTAATGATTTTCCATAATTATATATATTTTGCTAAACCGATATAAACCAGTTGTATCCCAGTCAAATCATACCATTTTCTAACTTGCTTGATAATCGTTCTCCACCCATTCACTTTCTCTTATCCAAAGTCTTCTCTTCTCGCACAATACTCAAACTGTCTTCCCTTTAGGTTGTCTTTCCTTTTAGTTTCGCCAATTAATTGGTCGCAAACATAAAAAGGAGCGGATCAATACATGATATAAACCTATAAACATGGTCCAATGAAATTATTAGGGACCAGATGGTCCAATCAAATGGCATTATTAGGCAACAGTAAACATTCTTGAGCTTTATATATATTAAAATAATTTGTTAAATAATTTCTCTACCATTGTACCTTCCTGCAAAGTTCTGTTTTCCACCTCTTTTTGAGCTCATGCCCTTTTTCCTAATTTGCTTTTGGGATGGAAATGTTTTTGAAGTTTTTAAATGAATATTTTCTACAGTAATTCCGGATATGCTACTTTGAATCAAATATAAAATTGTTTGGTTCCAGGATAGTAATTTGTGAGATGAGTTTAGTTTTCATAACTGTTTAAGTCTAACTGAGTGTAGGAGTGAGACTCGAGTAAAAGAGGGGGCGAGGAGAGTAAGCAACCAGATTAGTCAAAAAACCCATCACATCTCCACCGGAGTAAATTTCGTATTTATAGGCTACATTGTGGTGGGTGGATAATTAATGCGACATGACTAATGGGACTGACAGTAATTTAGACTATGATTACATCTAGGGCTCGGATGTGACCGTTCCCTAGGCAAAATGGTGTCGTTTCCTGTTGATCTGGAGGAGACTTCTGATACCTTGTCAGATCTTGTTTGCGTCTCGCGGGTGACGGAAGCTAGGGGTGGGAAACGGTGAGGTCAGGACCGAGAGGCTGGAACGTAGACCATATACTATACGGTCCAGACCACGCCTGTGCGGTGCGGTCTGGTACAGTCTACACCATGCAGGCCATGTTAAAAAAATTCAGTCTTATTCCGCCCTCCAACCCTTCGTCGACATCTGCAAAAACAAAATTCCAATGCCCAATATGCTAATAAAACAAAAATTTAGTGACGTAATTAAAATGAGAATAATATATGAGGAAAGAAGTGTGTTTTTCAATTTTCAAACTCTCTCTAGTCTCCACGACTCTATCTTGTATCCATTTAAAAAACACATATCATATAGACTTGTTTCCCTCTTCTTCTTCTTTGTGATACTGCTTCTCTCCCTCTCTCGGGTTATCCAAAGGTTCTCACGGTCGATCAACTTAGTGATGACGGTGATGTTGTTTTGAACCACTAAGATGGTCATTTATCTCTCAATAGTTTTCCTTATCTCATCAATGTGAATGAATTTTTCTAGTGTTTATGTTTTATTGACTCCATAGTCTAGACGTTGTTAGTGAATATTATAGATGAATCTTTCTATGTTTTGTGTGATTCTTTGATAATAAGATAATGCATAAGCAATCATTTGGCAATTTGTTGGCTCCCAACTAGATGAAGAATCAGCTAACTTTGTTCTTTAAATACATTAAATGGAAATTTAATTTAGTGTTATTTTGGTATGAGTTAGTAGGTAATGTGTCACGGTCTGTTACGGTTTACTGCGGTAGACCGCGGTCCAGACCAATTCAGACCACACACTACAAGAGGAGACCGCAAACCAGACCAGACCATAGCTCTGGTCTCACGGTCTAGACCAAACAGTACGACACGGTCTAGACCGCGGTTCCCCATAGGGTTTGGTCTAGATTCCCATCCCAACGGAAGCCATGAGTCGTCTTGGCGTCTGCGGTGTGGGGCGTCATATACTATCAAAGATTGGGCAGAGATGTTTGGCTCAGATCCGGTGCCCAATGATAACCTTGTGCGTGGACCAGATCACGTGTCCATCTATGGGGGTAGGGAAGTGACGGAATTGGTGCGTGGACTGGGGTTGCCCCCCAATTGGCAGTACGCGGTTTCCACACCCGAAGTCGGATCATGAATTGCCCCCTGGGTGGTTTGGGGTATACTGGAGAATGGGCTTCAAGTTCCCTGTCAATTCGCTGTTGTGCGTGTTGTACAAACGTCTTAAGTGTTCTGTTGCACGGCTGTCTCTGTCGGTGATAATGCACATATCGTGCCTCCACCTCATGTGTAAGAGGCTTAACTTGCAACCTTCTTACTGTTTGTTCCGCAAAATCTACAAGATAAAGGAGCCGGCGAAGAAGAGTGAATGCATGTCTATCAAGCGCATGGATAAGAGGTCGTATGGGTATGTGTATGGCTCGCCAAAGCTCGAGAAGAACTAGTTCGAGCAATTTTTCTTCATGAAACAAGCTCCTGGTTAATGGGCTAGCGAGTACGTAGAGGAGCCCACGGTTTGGAACAAAGGGAGTGTGAAGGGGTTTGAGATGGACGTTGGCGCGTACGACGGTCTTGATGAGGAGTATGAGGTGTGCCTTACGCAAAGAATCAATCTATATGGCGGCGGAGTCCACGCAGGTGTTTGGCAGAACTGTTTGGAGATGGTTAGTTGCTTTATTTTTCTTTTGTATTCTGTCATATTAACGGGCCCCTTACGACATATTGGAGCATTTGTGGATTTCTCATCGGTGGTGAGTATGATGTCTGTTGATGACGTCATGAAGGCTCCCCGGGCTCCTCGCTCCGAGAAGAAGAGGAAGGAGGTGGAACAGCCTGAGAAGAAGAGGAAGGAGGCGGAGAAGCCTGCTGTCACAGAGAGGGTGTCGAAGGCAGCACAGACAGTGGAGACTGTGCCCAGGGTTGTTGCTGGGAAGGATACGCGGGCGAGCAAGCCGCCGCGTCCGAAAGGCGGTTGCGAGTAGTTCCTCTAGGGCAATCGTTCAACAGACTTTTCCCAAAATACCCGGGTTCGGGCTTAGTGCGACTAACTACTTTCGCAATGTGCGCATTCATGGGAGTGCTGGTTGTAATAGCTAAGTCACGCAGATCGCTCTGCGGGCTGTGGGGCCCCTGTTTACTACTCCACCGCGAATGGAGAAGTCCCGCCCGTTGCAAGACCTCTACTAGGTTCATTTCGCAATAAGTTGTGGTTGTTCTTGTGCGTGTATATGTGTTAAGTAGAGTCTTAGTTTTTCTAAGTCTTTTGGCTTGGTGGATGTAGGGTTTGCTGGCAACCTTTCCAGCTCAACAAGAGCAGGACCAGGATCACGCGGCTATGAAGTATGAATGTTGAAGAACATGAAGCTGGAGGGAAAGTTGTCTGGCATGGAGGGTCGCGCAGAAGTTGCCACGAATAGGGCCAACGAAGCGCTAGAGCAGCTGAGGATTCTGCAGAGCAGGCTAGCGGAGGATGTGGAAGCTGCGAAAGAGAAAGTTCGGGCGGAGGAACGGGAGCTTATTTGGGAAGATTTGAAGCAGGAGTATGAAGGGGAGAAGCGGCGTCTGGAATTTGAACAAGCGGAGATGCTGAAGAATGTCCGCGAGGAATTTTAGAAGGAGAAGGAGGATCTGGTCCGCCTGCATGAGGTGGCCAAGGCAGAAGCTGCGCGAAAGGCACAGACTAATGCGGTCAGCCAGTACAAGTCGTCCACTGCGTTCGGCAAGTTTTTGGCGGATTGTATGACCAAGGCTGTGATCGCGGTGCGCAAAAAGGTGCATTCAGATAACCCCGAGATCCGCTGGAACACTCGTGCCATGGTTCGCCATGTGCAACACTGGTTGGGTGAGAAGAACATTTTGTTGCCTCTCCTTTTATTTTTCTTGCAGTTCATGACTGCGTGAATATTTTGCTCTGTATTTTCTTAGCGCGATACGTGATCGTGCGGTTACTTTGCAATTTAATAGCTCTGTTTTTTTTTTTTTGCTGCAACTCGTGGTTGTTGTTGTTTCGTTGGCCCCCATCGTTGCGCGGGAGTAGAAAACATTTCATTGCATGTAGTAGGAAATCAGGGGGGGTACATGTACATAATATTTAAGAACTCCTGTGGTAATTCCTCGGATTTTGAGCATTCCACGTCCTTGGGATTGCGCTCCGTTCAACGCACTTAGTTTAAATGTATTGGTGCCGACGATCTCGTGGATTATGTATGGTCCCTCCTATGTTGATGCTAGCTTACAGTGCTTTGAATCCGGGTGAAAGTTGCGTCTCAACACTTGGTCTCCCAACCTAATGTTGTGAGGGACCAATTTTGCATTGTAGTACCTCATGACTTGTGCTTTGGCCGCGGCCAGTTTGATAGCCGCCAGTTCTCGACGCTTGTTGGCCAAATCGAGCTCAGCGAGTCGCGCTTCGTTGTTGCTTTCTTTATTGAACAGTGTGCTGCGATATGTGGGAACCATCGTTTCAATAGGGATGACTGCGTCACTTCCTTAGGGTAGCGCGAACGGAGTCTCGCCCGCAGCCACTTTGAACGTTGTCCGGTGTGCCCAAAGGATTGTGTGAAGCTCCTACGCCCAATTCTATTTTGCCTCCCTGAGGCCGGTGTGGAGGCCACAGAGGATTGACTTGTTTGCAGATTCTGCTTGTTCATTAGCCTAAGGGTATGCTATTGAAGAAAATTGGGCTATTGTGCCCATTTCATCACAGAAGTCCATAATCTCGGTACAGTGGAATTGCTTGCCATGGTCAAATATAAACGAGTTTGGGACCTGATAACATCGTATTTGCACATGTTTGCACCCTCATTTCTTGATCATTTTGGCTTGAGTTTTTGCTTTCTTGGACTATTTTACGCTAGGTTGTGTTCCTTTGTCACATTTCAGGTCCTAGCATGTAAATTGAAGCATAGGTGCAAGTTTCAAGTCAATTGGAGATCATTTGGCAATTTGGGAGAAGAAAAACGAGCATGACCTGAGGAATAATGGACTTCCACCTCATATTATGGACAAATAATCATGGAATTTTGTTTTGAAAAGAAATAGGACGAGACTACGAGCGTCTGGGATCAAACGGCGACTGATTCGGAGTCCGGACGAGGGAGAAACGAAGCATTAAACAGGGGCGGAGGAAGAAATACGGGCAGGAGAATTACGACCGTATTTTCCCCTCGCATGCCCGTATTTTCACTGTTGAGAGGAGCTTTGGATGCGCTGAAACTTAACCAAAACGCGTGTTTTGGGGAAAATACGGGCATGGAAGAATTACGATCGTATTTCTGCCCGTATTTTGCCTAGAATCGGGTTTTTGAGGCAGATTCGAGCCAAAGGAAAGGGGGAGCTGGGTTTTCGTTCCCAAACACCCAAGGGACGAACCCTAGAGAGAGAGCGACTTGGGAACATTCTTGGAGCTATTTTGGAGGATTTCTTCACCATTGGAGCTCGGGAATCAAGCTTGGAGATGGAGATTGAAGATCTAGATCAGATTTCTGCAGTCTCTCTCTTCTCTATGGAGTAACTTTCCTTCACTTAGGTTTTGAGGAACTCTAGTTCCATGTGTTAGGATCTTTCTTGTATGAAGTTTTGGATGCTATATTGTTTGATTATAATCGATTGAGTCATGATTTATAGAGTCATTTGAAGCCTGATCATCTTCGCTTGATTTCTGCTTTAACCTATGATAGATAGAATCTGATTAGGTTAAGCGAGCTTCCTTGATTGATAGTGGTGAATTGGTTGTGCTAAAGTCAATCAATTCACTGCTTTGTACTCGAATTCATTCCAGTAGTGGAGATCTGTGTGAATCGCCTTAGCAGTCTATCCCGGTGAAGGCTAGTCGCCTGCCGGGTATTCTGTCTAAGAGGGCTTGGTCAGCTTAAGAGATTCCAAGCTAATTTAGGATCTTCCGCAGTTTAATCAACAGTAGATCAACCAAAAGTAATTGCAACTTGGACCTAATTGAGGAGCTAGGGGGAATCATACCTAAGTGAGTTCCCAACTTGTAATTAGTAGAGTAGTTAGTAGAGTAGTTTAGTAAATCAATCCTTAATCTAGTTTGCTAGATAATGAACTGAAGCTGAGTAATAGTAACTCTAGAGCCCGTGGATTCAATATTTATTACTTGTGCCACTATACTGCAGTCCCTTTCATTGGTTACACTTGGCCATTGTTAGGTGTTGTGTCATAGTGAGTCAAGTTTTTGGCGCCGCTGCCGGGGACTTTCTAGAGTATTAGGAAAGGCAGAAGTTTGTTACTTTAGCGTTTTTTCCACCCTTGCTTTTCACTTGGGTGGTTTTGTTTTTGTTGGTGCAGATCTGAATCGTGGATCCTAATGGCTTCTCTAACCAGTGGGGGTATCCACCACCATCTGAGTGGTATTACCCCAAGACATCCTGGAGCAATCAAGGAGGAGAGGACTATGGATTCGGGTCCCAATACCAACCCCCGTACTACGGAGAACAATTAGACCCCTGGGCATATCAAGAACAACCTACTTATCCAGAAGAATTCCTCCCACAAATAGAAGGGCCATCAGATCTTCATTTAGCCACAGCCCTCACGGGCCATCCGGCAGAGTCATGCTACACTCCACAGCCAGATCCAAACTCTCACTTGAGGCTTCTCGTGGAGCAGATTGCTCGAGTACCTGAGAGATCCTTTCCCGAGATGGATCCTCGTATCCAGGACATGGCCCAAACTGACTTCTCCTTTCCCCGTAAAACAGAGGATACCCTTCGGAGCATAAAGAAGCACATAGAGGTCATTGAGAAAGCTTGTGCACAGTTTTCTCAAGACAACCTTTATGATGCCATACAAGTAGAGAATGAGGAAGAAGAAGGCAATAATGAGGATGTTGATGAGCATACAGAAGTTGTCACGGAAAGCTCCCATGATAATAATGATCAAGTGTATCCTCTGATGGTAGATTACAACTATCCCCATTTTTGCTCTGATATGCTGGGCCCGACCGATGAGATGCAAGATGATCTCATTGAAGAAATTACATGGCGACTTGCTCTCCAATCCGTGTTAGAAGAAGAAGAGCGAGAAAGGGTGAGGGAAGAAGTTGTGGAGGATGAGGAAGAAAGTAAAGAAGAGGAAGTTATTGATCTTTTCCAAGGGGAGAGGCCACATTCTGATGAAGGCAGGGGGGTTGAAGAAGCAAGTGATGTCCAGGCTGAGGATGAAGTTGAGGTGGAAGAGGCTTGCACCGACCATGATTTACATGTGATATCTCCACCAAACTTAAAGGAACTGCTTAGCAAGGACCCATTTGCAATGTCTCTTTGCCAGACCAAGGCCACATCGACATCGGTCCCTCTTGGTGGACGCGATGGTGGTCAGTCGATACGGTTATATTTGGTTTGGGGCAATGAGACAAGAGAAGAAACGAGGAAGAGGTCTCGAGGGTGGAGACTTCAGTTGCATCAAGTGCACGAGCTTCCATCACCTATCATACCACATGCTCGTGACTTGAGACTCCACCTCATCGACGAGAACCTCAACTTCAAGGAGGTTTTGGGGTGGACCAAAACTTAGGAGCCATCGTCCGGCTCACGACGTGAAAGAAGCGCTTGTTGGGAGGCAAACCAACCAGTCGGTTTGCATTTCTTTCTCTATTTCTCCTCGGTTGAGTCAGTTTTGTTCTTTGATTTTAGAGTCAATAACTCAACCTTTGTGACATTTTGTGGTGTGTTTGTGTTCCGACTACGCTCTCCTCCTAGAATGCACCGCCTGCCCCTTCCACCATCATTCACCCTTGATCTGGTAACTTCGTTTTACCCTTCTTATCTTTCCTCCATTGAGGACAATGTCGTGCTTAAGTGTGGGGGGATGTTCGATTATATATGCGTGTGAATGTTTGGCTGTATGTGTGTCCTTGGAGCCTAGTCCACTGTCCAAATCTTGAGATTTGAGGGCTCCAAGTACAAATGTTTGCATGATCATATTGGCACTGTGGGTTTAATTGGTGAATCGAATGGCTTTCGAATTAATGCATGACAACTTGATTGTAACTAGGACAACCTATGATGATGACTGAGACGTGTAGTAGGATTGTGTAGGGGATCCATTTTTCATCTGTTTACTTACCAACTGGGACTTGGATTGATCACTTGCTCTTGAAAGTCGTTTATGCATCTAATTTAGGGAATCAGAATGAGAGATAGAGCATATAGGTAGCCATGTGAGATTTGAGCCTGCTCGTTTCTTTCTTGTGCGATAGTTCCCTCTTCCATGATGTGTAGCATTCACGTTATCATTAGCTAAGATGATGGAGGCATAGGATTGGCCCACGACCAAATTGACTGTCCTGATGTGTCATACCCCCTAGTCAGCCCCTTTGAGCCTGTCGCATCCTTTCTTTCGGTCTACAATGAAAAATCACCCTTTTGCATCTCTTAGAAGGTTCCACAGAGTGGTTTTTACATGTTCTCTGCTATTCTGCTAAATATAATGCGAGGGTTGGAGGTAGTGCTTAAAAATTGGGCATGTGTTTGAAAAATGTGCAGAGGTGGTGGTTCTCTTAAGAAATGAAAAAAAAAATGAAAGAAAAACAAAGAAAAAATGAAAGCAAAAGAGAGCCACTACCAAAAATCTGAATAGTTTCCATTAAGTAGTGTTTCTTAGCAGTCTGCCTTAGAAATGCTAACATTTATATGACCTCCTTCGCTCTTGTGCTCTAGAGAATTTGAGTAATGTAGAATGGCAGAAAGGAAGTACTAGATTGATTGGTTGTGATTGTGTTGGGTTTGGAACTGTGGAACCTTGTGCTATGAATACTTCTACCACCTAAAAGGCCTTTTCCCCATGTCCAAGACCCTAGCCAGTCATTTGAACCTGTGTCTAAGACCTCCGGATTAGTTAGTGATGACACCCATTTATTTGAACTCTAACATTTAGAGGCTGCCGTCATGGTGAAGAGACGTTATGGATTGAGAGAATAAGTAGGCGCATTTTTCGCATCATATTGTCTTGACCCCATTGGTCAAGAGTGAGCGATTCATTTCCTTGTTCTTTACACTCTTTACCACGGTAAGGACCTAGATGGCTCGGTCTTGATTCTGATGTCTTGAGTTTTATGCATGAGCTGACTGTCTTGAATAAGTGGTTGAGTCAAATCTAGGTTGGTTGGAGAACAGAAGGGAGACTCTTCCTTTACCCGATTTTGCTGCACTCGAATGTCCTCTGTGGTGGTCGTCCACGTTGCTGTTGAAGATGTTCATGTGTTGATGTCTAAAAGCCAGTATGATTCCCGTGTTTTGTGTCTATATGATATGTCCCCAAGGGTTTCATGATTAAGATGTTTTGAGCTTACCTTGTATCTGACTTGGTTTGCTTGGGGACAAGCAAACGGTTAAGTGTGGGGGAATTTGATAACATCGTATTTGCACATGTTTGCACCCTCATTTCTTGATCATTTTGGCTTGAGTTTTTGCTTTCTTGGACTATTTTATGCTAGGTTGTGTTTTCCCCTCGCATGCCCGTATTTTCACTGTCGAGAGGAGCTTTGGATGCGCTGAAACTTAACCAAAATGCGTGTTTTTGGCAAAATACGGGCATGGAAGGATTACGACCGTATTTCTGCCCGTATTTCACCCAGAATCGGGTTTTTGAGGCAGATTCGAGCCAAAGGAAAGGGCGAGCTGGGTTTTCGTTCCCAAACACCCAAGGGACGAACCCTAGAGAGAGAGAGCGACTTGGGAACATTCTTGGAGCTATGTTGGAGGATTTCTTCACCATTGGAGGTCGGGAATCAAGCTTGGAGATGGAGATTGAAGATCTAGATAAAATTTCTGCAGTCTCTCTCTTCTCTATGGAGTAACTTTCCTTCACTTAGGTTTTGAGGAACTCTAGTTCCATGTGTTAGGATCTTTCTTGGATGAAGTTTTGGATGCTATATTGGTTGATTATAATCGATTGAGTCATGATTTATAGAGTCAATTGAAGCCTGATCATCTTCTCTTGATTTCTACTTTAACCTATGATAGATAGAATTTGATTAGGTTAAAAGAGCTTCCTTGATTGATAGTGGTGAATTGGTTGTGCGAGAGTCAATCAATTCACTACTTTGTACTCGAATCCATTCCAGTAGTGGAGATCTGTGTGAATCGCGTTGGCAGTCTATCCCGGTGAAGGCTAGTCGCCTGCCGGGTATTCTGTCTAAGAGGGCTTGGTCAGCTTAAGAGATTCCAAGCTAATTTAGGATCTTCAGCAATTTAATCAACAGTAGATCAACCAAAAGTAATTGCAACTTGGACCAAATTGAGGAGCTAGGGGGAATCATACCTAAGTGAGTTCCCAACTTGTAATTAGTAGAGTAGTTAGTAGAGTAGTTTAGTAAATCAATCCTTAATCTAGTTTGCTAGATAATGAACTGAAGCTGAGTAATAGTAACTCTAGAGACCCGTGGATTCGATATTTATTACTTGTGCCACTATATTGTAGTCCCTTTCATTGGTTACACTTGGCCATTGTTAGGTGTTGTGTCATAGCGAGTCAGGACCCTAACCGAGTGAGGACATTGTGCTTTAGAAATCCGCCATAATTTCAGCGCAGAGCAGTTGATGTAGGGTCCTTTTAGGCGGGACGCGATACTGTGGAGAGAGGTGTTGTTCCAAGAATGCCAGGTCTGCTCTTGCTGGCGGGGCATGTTCGTGTGCTTGTGGATTCGCGGAGGTGTTATTACGAGAAGCTCTAACGTTGTCGCGGGAGTTTATTTGTTCATCATCAGGGCGATCACCTGATTCATTTTGACTTGCATATCCGCGATGACTTCATTTTGCTTGGCCATTTGCTGGCGGACCTCCTTGACCGTCAGTTCCGGTTCTTCTTCTTCAATTAAGACTATGTTTAGGTTGCTGGCCTCCACGAACAACCTCGGGTTTTTCATCGCCTTGATTGGCGTTGATTCATTGGGGGTGTTAGGATTTTGTCCCGCCATCGTGACTTGATTTCCTATTGCTTCTCTACTCGCGGCCCCATGGTAGGCGCCAATTGTTTAAGTCTAACTGAGAGTAGCAGTGAGACTAGGGTAAAAGAGGGGCGAGGAGAGCATGGAAACGAATCAGTCTCTTTCTTTCCTGTGATTTCACAGTTACAAGGGAGCAGTAATTGGAAGGAGATGAATCATAGAGAGAGAAATTAGTAGTTGTAGAGTGAGAGAGTAAAAAATCCATCACCTCTCCACGGAGTAAATGCCATATTTATAGGCTACATTGTGGTGGGTGGATAATTAATGCGACATGACTAATGGGACTGACAGTAATTTAGACTATGATTACATCTAGGGCTCGGATGTGACCGTTCTCCAGGGAAAATAATGTCTTTCCTGTTTTCCTCATCCGGCCTGAGTCGAGCAAACGACGTCGTTTAGCGCCTTGACCGACCGTTTCTCAGGGGAAATGGTGTCGTTTCTTGAGTTCTTCCTCCGGCCTGAGTCAAGCAAAATGACGCCGTCTAGCGCCTTGATTGACCGTTCCCCAGGGGAAACGGTGTCGCTTCTTGGTTTCTTCATCCGGCTTGAGTCGAGCAAAACGACGCCATCTTGTGCCTTGGCTTCCGTGAACCCTTTCATACATGCGGAGGCTCCTCCGCGGGTAGAATCCTTCCGCGAGCTGGTTCCTTTTGGAGCGTGGTAGTTTGACCGCGGGCGTTCCTTGTGGACGGTACTGAACTAGCTTGATGGCGCAATTAGACCCGAGCCGTACCCCAATAATAACCTACATATTTTATTTATTATATACTGTCCAAATGTTAGATGTTGAAAACCAAAATTTATTGATGTAGCAAGTATATAATAATAAATTTGAATGCTTCAATTGTCAAAGCTGAACATAAATTCATACAACGCTAAACCTCAGTGGAGGTCTGGAGGATATGAGTATAGGTGTCAACCGGGCGGGTTCGGGCTGGGTTCAATCGGTTTGCGGGTTAGTCGGGTTGCGGGTTCATCGGGTTGAGGGTTCGTCGGTTCGGGTTCAATTGGGTTCGGGTTTAATCGGGTTGCGGGTTAGTCAGGTTGTGGGTCGATCGGGTTCGGGTTCAATCGGGTTACGGGCAAATCGGGTTCGGGTTCATCGGGTTTCGGACCGGGCGGGTTGCGGGCGGATTGGGTTGCGGGTTGTTCGGGTCAACGCATCGAGTTACTTACTCGTTACCAACTTACACATTTTATTACACTAATTTAAAATATTTGTCACAGTTTTTAATCAATTTCTTTCTACCTTGTATATATACTTAATTAAGACAAACTAGTCAAAATCACCACAATCGAAATTCGAAAGTACACTAGCTAATAGTAATGGGGATATCAATATTTACAACCAAAAGATACCTTTAATTATTTATTTGATATTTTAGTATTATTTCAGTAATGTAATTGGATTAAAGTATCTCATTTAGTATAACCATGCAAATGTGATATTTGGCATAAACATAGTGATAAAAGAAGTTATTTCAAAATAACTCATTGCCCAAATAACTTCAGTAAACTGTTGTCAAACGAGTTATTTGTAAAATTGTTCGAATTATCCTGAAAATTGAACCATTAAAGATTAACTATCAAATCTAGTAAAATTATTTGGACTTCAATCATAACTTACTCAATAACATATATCCTATACACTTAGCCTTACCCTCAATCAACAATATTAAGTTAGTATATGTTGTTGATTGTATACCCTAAACCATCAATACATTATACACTAACCACATACCCTATACCCTAACCATATGTTCTTATTAGTTGTGATTTTGCTAGTATAGTTAATTTAAAACTGAAATTCATACTTTGATTTTCAAAACATAGATAAAAAGTGATATTTGCTAATTGCTACACCCTAACCATATATCTTATACCCTGTACCCTAATCACGTACCACAAACATAGATTAAAAAGGGATCTCCTGCCGTTAAAGACATCAAATGACTTCAAGTGAACATATGTTAATAAAAATCTTAGAACCGTCAAAACCATCAATATCTTATACCCTAACCATATACTCCCTAAACCATATGTACCTTATACCATTTACCCTAACGGCCTAACCAATATACTTTATACCCTAAACAACGAACCGTCAAAGATTACTTATCAAGTTTAATATAATTGTTGTAACTAATGGTTAATTTATTTATTAGCCTATAAACAATTACATATATATATATATATAAATTAGCATTCAAAGCATATAAGAATAAATTTAACTAGTCATGCCCTCCATATAAAAATTAAAGATTCATATTTCAAAGGCTAAAATTTTGAAAAACCAAAAAGTTGAAAACACCAAATTTGTTTCATTTTTTCTTTTCACAAAAAAAAACTAAAATTTCCCTCCTTCTTTCTCCTTCCATGAATTAGAAACACTCAATTTCCCTCCTCTTTCTCTTCCATAAAATTGAAAGAACCAAATTTCCCTCTTCCTTCCTTCCACAAAAAGTTGAAAACTCAAAATTTCCCTCCTTATTTCTCTTTCATAATCAAAAGAACCAAACTTTCCCACTTCTTTCTATTACCACAAATCAAAACCACCAAAATTTCCCTTGTTTCTTTTCTAAAAAATTCAAAGAACCAAATTTCCCTCTTCTTTCTCTTCCCAAAAAGTTGAATACAGCAAAATTTTCCTCTTCTTTTAAAAACATCAAATTACCAAATACATTACTTTATTTTATTTATATTTAATTGATAATTTTATTGAATAGTTGAATTAACCATAATTTTAATTTATATATTATATTAGTATTGTCCATGATCTCAATTATTAATTCTTCATTATTAATATTGACATTATGTTGATTTTATATTTACTTTTTTAATTTTGTTAAAGAACTTAGTGTTCAAGTGACCTTCATGTTTCAATTTTTGTAATTTTCTTAAAATACATAATATCAAGTGAGTTTCATATTTTTTAAATTCCCTATACGAAATGAAAAAATAATTTTACCTAAGTTTAGAATGAAAAACTTTATTTTGAAAAACTATGTATTGTATATTATAATAATTATTTAAGTGGACTAAGTGAGGTTCGGGTTGAGTCGATCGGGTTACGGGTTAGTCGGGTTCGGGTCAATCGGGTTCGGGTTAATTGGGTTGTGGGTCAGTCGGGTTTGGGTTAATCGGGTTGCGGGTCAGTCGGGTTGCGGGTTAGTCGGGTTGCGGGTCAATCGGGTTGCGGGTCGGGCGGGTTACGGGTTGTTGACTTTTAGTCAATTCGAGTTACGGTCGGGTTGCGGGTCGGGTTGATCGGGCGGGTTAATCGGGTCGGGCTATGTTTTGACACCTATAGATATGAGTAACAATTATAGAGAATCGAAGCATTATGTCTGTAGAATGTAGATGATAAATGTTGGTAGAGTTTTTATCATGTGCATATTATAGAATTAGTCACAAATCAATGTTCATCAATTCAAAATTGAATGTCTAACTTAGAATTATATATTGTAGACTTAGTTACAAATCAATGTTCATCAATTCAAAATTGAATGTCTAACTTAGAATTATATATTGGTTAAATGAATGAATGAAAATCATTGATCGAATCTTGATTGCTGAGTTGAGAAATAAATATTTACTTAGGGGTCGTTTGGAGAACGGAATTTAGAGCATGGATTCATTAAATCAGAATTGAAACTCTACCGATTTGGGTCAAATTGTGGGGAATTCCATTAGAATATCATTCATTTGAAGGGCACGAATGGATTGCAAGCACTATAGGGGCACCTCTCTGGATGGACCAGACCACAAGGGTTGGTGCTCAACTGGATTATGCAAAAGTTTGTGTTGATTTAGCTGCTGATTGTGGTTTTCCGAGTAAAGTTCGACTTTATCCTGACGACGACCCTTCGTTTGAAATTGAAATTGAGTATCTGAATAAACCAGTGGTGTGTGATAGATGTGGGATTTATGGGCATGACTGTGATTGGTTAGCAAAGAGTGGTAAGAAGTGGATTCCTAAAATTAAAGTTGCAGAAAAGGATACTGAAGCTGTGGTTATATCAGAGGGTGACAAAGGTGTGGATGGAAAGGATAAAGGGAAAGGAGTAGCTGAAATGGTAATTTCTGTTGGGTCAGAGGCAGAAGGTGGATCTCATTCTGGTAATGGTGTGATACTGGTTGGTTCTGGGGCAACAATTGCAAGTAGTTCAACTCTTACTTCTCCAGTTGTAGGGGGTCCAGTGGGAAGTTTTGTTGAAGCAGTGAAGGGATCATCAGCTCCTTCTGAGAGTCCTGTTTCCACTCACTTTTCGCCTGAGTGGAGGATGGATACTCAGACAACTCCTGCTAGAGTTGAGATTAACCCCTGGATTACTGTCATGGGAAATTCTGCAAAGAAAAAGCCTCCTGTTCCTCCTGCTAAGAAAGGGGGAAAGGGTGGAAAGAAGAAATGAAAGTGCTATCTTGGAACACCAGGGGATTCAAGGACCCTGGAAAAAATAAAGTTGTTCAACAGCTAATAAGTAGACATAATATAGATATAGTATGTATATTAGAGCCTAGAACTAAAGCAGCTGAGTCAGAAGCTATTATTAGTAAAAGATTTTCTGGTTGGGAGAAGAAAGTAGCATGTAATGCAAATGGTTTGGGGAAGCTTTGGATTCTCTGGAAGCAGGATGTTCAATTGAGGATTCTTAATAACTCAGAGCAGTTTGTTCACGTTTTGGTAAGCTCAGGGAAGCCTTTTTTCTTAACATTTGTTTATGCCTCTAATGATGAAGAGGACAGAAGAAGGTTATATAGTGATCTGGCTAAGTTGAAAGTGGGACACATGACTTGGATTATATTGGGGGATTATAATGCAATCAATGGTCCTGAAGAAGCCTCAAACAACCCAGCCCCTAATAACAGTATGGAGGAGTTCAGAAACTGGCAATATGTGACTGAGATTGTGGAACATAAAGCATCAGGACCATGGTTTACATGGATAAACAAGCAGCAAAATAATCCTATTGCTAGGAGGCTTGACAGAGCATTCATTAATCTGAGCTGGCTAGATGAGATGAAAAATAGTGTGGTGGATGTCTTAGATCCCTCAGTGTCTGATCACTGTCCTGTTCTCCTCAATACAGATAGTCAGATCAAGTCCCTTCCTAAGCCATTCAAATTCTTTAAGTATTGGATTTCACATCCTAAATTCTATGACCTGGTTAAGGAAGCTTGGGGCACTGAAGTGTCAGGTTCTCCTCTTAGTAGGGTGTGTAAGAAGCTAAGAGTTCTCAAGAAGTTACTCAGGGAATTAAATAAGGAAGAATACTCAGACCTAAGGGAGAGAGTAAGGCTGAAGGAAAAAGAATTGCAGAATGCTCAGGCTGTTGCACTTACTGATCCATCTTCTGAATCGTTTGCTCTTGTAAAAGTGAAGGAAAGAGATTTGAAAACTATTAAAGCTGCTGAAGAATCATTTCTCAGACAGAAATCCAGAGAAATCTGGCTCAAGGAGGGGGACTCAAACTCCTCATACTTTCATAGATCAGTTAAAATAAGAAACCAGAGAAACACAATCAGATCACTTATCAATGAATCTGGAGAAAGGGTGGTGGATACCAAGAGTATGAGTGAGATTGCCTTGAAATTTTATCAGAATTTGCTTGGTAAGGTGGATCCCATTGTGAAAGAAGAAACAGTGGATTATTTTAAGAGTTTGTTGCTAAAAACCCTCCCAAGTAGTCTCTCTAATGATCTGTGTAGACCAGTTACTACTGAAGAGGTAAAAAAGGATTATATTTGGTTTCAAAGGAGAGAAAAGCCCTGGTCCTGATGGTTATTCAGCCTGCTTCTTCCAAGCTGCTTGGAGTTTAATTGGGGAGGAGATCACAGCTGCTATTCAATATTGTTTCTCTGTTGCTGAGATTCCCATAGAGGTAAATTCTACACTATTAGCTTTACTGCCTAAGACTAAGAATCCAGAGGATATGAAAAATTTCAGACCTATCTCTTGCTGTAATATCTTATACAAGTGTATAGCAAAGATAGTGTCTACTCGTCTAAGTGAATGTTTACCGCATTTGATAAGTGAAAACCAAACTGCCTTTGTTAAAGGAAGGGTTATAGGGGAGAATATATTGTTAGCTCACGAAATGGTGCAGAAATATGGTAGGAAGAACATGTCATCTAGGTGTATGGTAAAGGTGGACTTAATGAAGGCATTTGATTCAGTGGATTGGCAGTTTCTGCTATCTGTATTAGAGGCAATGAATTTTCCTTTAAC